GTCTGAAATCTTCGTATCATTTAAGTTCTTTCATTTTCCTGATCAAATTTTCATACCATATTTTCTTGTTAAAGCTTGTCCACAAAGGCCAGGTATTCTTCAAAAATGCTTTCATCTAAATTCCTTTGAAGCATTTTTTCTGGTGTCCTGTAATAGTTTTCAAAAAATATTCATTGGCCGAGGCCAATTTTCTGAACCAATTTTCCTTCTGTTGACATTTGGCAGTTAGTTAAATTATACATGTGATAAATTAGTTTGTATCAACTATTTTAGCTTATTAAAGCGAAGCATGTTTTGTTATTAAACCTTGTTGGTTTGTGTTTTTTATCATAGTATTTTGTAAGGAATTCAAAGTACTAGATTGTTTACATTGTGGTACTATTTCATTCCCGAGTTGCTTTGTCCGGTTGCACTCTAAGTGTTAAAAATCGAGTACCGCTCAAGCCAGTGCTTGTGGGAGTGAGCGATGTTGCACGTTTTCATGCACAAACCGAGCATGCAATTTTCATGTAATTATGTTGTTATAAATGCTTCCGGGTGCAAACCCTTTTCCAGATTTTTATTTATAAGCTTCTGACATGCTCTAAAACCATTTGTATCGCTATGCAACTTATGCCTGCACTTTCTTAAGGAAGGGGAAATAATCGTTTCTGAGGTACAATAAGCCTCTGAATTTGGGTATTGATATATCAATTATTATAATATTTTAACTTTGTCGTGTGTTTTTTTTTTTTTTTTTTTTTTTGTTTTTTTTTTTTTTTTTTTTTTTTTGTAAAAAAGATGTTTAGCATTGGACTTTACCTTTACTATTCTTCATCGTTTTTTTTCCCCTTTTTTCAATAATGTTAATTGACAGATCACAAATTTGTTGTTCACTATAAATTTTGTCTTCTATAAAGCGAAATATAAATTCTTAAAGCATATTTTAGAAATGAATACTGATCAAGTAATTTATACCATTATGAGTTTATGAAGTTGGAATCGTGAATTGATGAATTTGAAATCATGAATTCGTAAAGTTGAAATCGGGAATTCATGAAGATGAAATCGGGAATTCATGAAGATGAAAACGGGAATTTGTGAGGTTGAAATGTTCCCACCAGTCTTTCGTAATTATGTGATTTTTTTTTCAATTTTCCAATTGACATAGAACTTAGTGAAGTCCATGAAAAAAAGAGCAAAATTTGTTGAATTAAATTCTTACATGATGGCATTTTCATACTGAATTCATTTTACAACGTTGATAAAAGATACGAAATAGTATCTGACTTTGATCAAGTTACTTCAAATAACCCGATAAATTTCTAAATAAAAAGGCACAAATGTGAACATTTACAAGGTTTATTTACTCTTTGACATTGAATGAGGTCAATATGCTATGCAATTAAAGTAAACAAGCTAATACAGTACGTCGATTTATTAATTTAAAATTGATTTTTCTACGTCATTTGAAACATCAGCATGACAATATTGTATGTAAACTTTTGACTTTCCAAACTCGTGACCACATAACTTAATCCATGCAGAATATGCATATTAATATACTGTGATTCTCTGTCGCAATAAAAAATAAACAACAAACACAAAAATAAAATAACATTGCATTCATTGTTTTTATTATGACCACAAACTTATCAAATTTATTTCGGTTGTAATTATCTTAATTTAACACACTTAAAAAGAATTTGCTTCTACCGATGGTCAATAATAAATAAGTTTAAATGTTACGATCAGTTATTACCTGAGGTAAAACATAACCGACACAAGATTGTAATTGTAAATTAAATCTAGTAAAATGTGTCTTTCTCTTTTTGGATATGTTTTCATTTGCAAATGTGTATACTTGTATGTGCTTTAAGCATTGTAAAATTTTTAATTCAGTACAATGAATCATTGCACTTAGAGTATTAATTTATGTTACTTATATTTGAATATTTTGATATGATAAGTTATGTATAATTTATGTATTCATATAAAGGCAATCATGTTTGTATTGCGAAGCCAGATTTGTTTGTTTGTTTCATTTTACGCTTTTCCCAACAATATGTCAGTCATATAGGCGGGTAGTTTCCTAACAATCGTTCCTTGAGAGTTACACCAGTACTAGACACCCTTCCTCAGTGCTAAACTACCAAAGCATCTCCCGAGGATCGAACCCACGCCAGAGAGGTAACTGGATTAGAAGAAAGCCAGATTTAAACATGGAATTGTATTGACTATGCCTGAATATCATGACTAGGGTTGACTGAATATGCATATTGTCCAACAATATTGACCTGGCACTTCATTAACTTTCGTAAAGGTCATCTGAAACACAAACCAGTATCTATCGAATATATCGATATATTTGCTAACAACTTTACTCGTTATTGAGGTGTGATGTATTGGTATAAATGTCAGGCTACCGATCTGAATATCTCTGGTTCGATTCCTACAAACACCGCGTTTTTTAGTTGTTTTTTTTTTATTTTACTTGCAAGAATTAATTTGAAATCGTTTCACTATACCTGGTTTTAGAATACCTTTTAAGTAGTTTTTTATACACCAGTGCATTTTTTATATCATTGCATTATCTTTCAACGGTTTTCTTTGTGACAGTATGCAATTTTGTTTGCTTAAACGCATAAATGCTATAAAGGCAGTTAAAGAAAGTACACACAACAAACTGGTTTGCAATAGTTTTAAGAGAATGGCAATTCCAAAATTACATAAAAAAGATGAAAACTAACATTCGAACCTATCATTCAAGTAAAACCTCCTTACCGACTGCGCTAATACGGATTTTTAATTAATTTCGACCATTTAATAGTTGGATATTTACTTTCATATCGATTTAAAAGTACATCGTAACGTTTACGTTTTTTACCGACTATGTTCAAATGCAAGAGTGCCAGGTCAATGTTGTTGGACAATACTCGATTTACACAGTCTCATCAATAATGTACACAGTTTAAATACATTTATGATATAAATGCACATTGCCAAGCTATAAGATTTACAAGAGACTAAAAATTGGAATTACTTTTTACATATAAAATCTAAATGATCTTAAATACCCTTGCTAATATGAACCCGAGTTGTGAACATATGATAAAATGAATCTACTGAAGTAAATTAAAATACAGGATAACAAAGTACCTTGAATATGCCATATAGAAATTAACAGTATTATAGTCATATATAATCAAGCCAGGTTTAGAAGATTTTTGGCAAAGGTATTTTCTACATAGTATATGCATATCTTCAACACACAAAAGTTATTTTAAAAAATGTCAGTTGTATAAAATTAGTTTTCTATTATTTAGTATATTAAAACAGATTTTGGCAGTTTAAAATGCAATATCTGCATTAGAGAGAATATATCCTACTTTATCAGTGTCTAAAAGGGTATCAAAACCATTGGGTAGCATTTGTGCTTCTCGAATCATGTCATTACGAATGTTATCATATAGAGGGCAATATAATAATAAATACTTTTTATTCTCTACAATAGTTTAATAAATTCTCAGTGTTTGGTGGCTAGTCCATTGTTTATCAAAGTAATCATGTATATTATAATAATATTACAGATGTAAAATCAAGCTGATATATTTGCCAGTGTTTTGTGATTGGTTTTGTGATTGATTAAAAACGAGTATGAAAACAATTCTTGTTTTCCCCTTTTTTGTTAACAAAATATTTATTATGTCTTTAAAACAATCGTCAATGTTTGAAAACTCACCGATACTTAACAAAGGTAATTAAACATTTCTTTTTATCCAATAATCATGAAATGAAATAATAAAGCCAAATTAGTCATTTCTGAACCAACGTTCCACAATGATGTTATTATGAATAAATAATATTATGCGAGTTTCTGACCTATGTATCAGATAATTTGTTTTGTTTTTTCCACTAGAATTACATGACTGTTTATACATTTTGTAAAAATGTATTTTATGATCATGGCAATACTTCATTGAAAATTAAAATATTATGGAATTTGTATATGTAGATATTTTAACTGAAATAAAGACATTGTAGAGATGTTGCAATAATGCCAAATTAAAACTAATATCCATTATCCGCGATTTTCTGTCATGAACATAGCAACAAGTTTTATCTGGTTTATACTTGCAAAATTTACCAAAGCTAATTTATGATGATATGCTATATGCACAGTACTTGTAGAGTTTTAGCGTTATGAAAAAAACAGAGGCTTTTTTTATAAAAGGGACGGACTTATTTCCAATTACAGTCAATAACTGTTTGTTAATGTGTAAGTTTATCAGTCCGGGCGTATTTAACTTTGCGTTTGGTAAAGCGCCTGTTAGAGGGCCTAAAGTAGAATAATATCAATTAAAGTCAACTCAAGTAAAATCAGATCAAGTCAAGTAATAGCAATATCAGTGTATAAATACATGGCAATTCATGGTTTACTCGTACAAAGAGGCACAATATGACATATTTATTATCATTTATATCAAACATTTTTAAACTAGAGATAGTAACAACAAACTAAACGACCATATTATAATCGACAGTTTGAAAGACTTTAAAATTAAAAGATGACAGATACCTATAAGCCATTTACATTATGATAATGTACCAGAATATGTTTTATCGAACATAGATGACAGTGTGAATTCATTTGTTTCATTTGTTGTCCAGGAAATGTACATGTATATGACCCATGTGTCAGTAATTATTTTTTGTTTGATTCGTCCCCGCATCTTATATTTTAGTTTACCATTATCGTTAAAAATGAAAACGATATTATACGAATATCTATGTTTCATAAAAACAAAGTATCTAAAATAATTTGGCATTTTTACATTTACACAATTTAAAAATATTGTCTTGAAATCTGCCACAGAGAAGCCTTAACAATATTGATAGAACTGTTTTATCATATTTACTCACATTGCGCAATAGTCGTTTGTTTTAAGCTCAATGCACCCTAAAAACAAATGTCAGATTACTCGCTAGATTTTCCTACGCGAAAGAAAAAAGTTTCGCCGCGAATAATAAAATAGTGACAAATCTAATTCTGGAACGGCGTTTCGTGTCTTTTACCTCTAGCCTTCGTATCAATTGTGTAAATAAGACGCTAAATGAGGAATATTGTCACATAATTAGTTTTTGATTTGTCGTCTGCGTTTAGAAAGGGATAGAGCGTTCACGTGTTTAGAAGCAAAAAAGGCGCGCAAAATTATTGATAAGGACTAAGTTATGTGAGAAGGCACAAGTGGCATTTGGCAGTTACTAAATCCGATCCTGATATCGAAATAAAAGAAATTTACGACGCTGCAACAGGAAAATCAGAAGTATATAAGATGCCTGATACCATAACAAGATAACTTTTAAACGTGTAAAAAAGGATTTGAAAAAAATATTCACATTACTTTTCACAATTGTGCAAAAAATACTCAATATCTAATTGCATAAAAGAGGTAAGAAATTATTCAAGTTTTTATTAAACATGAATTATACCTATATTTACGTTTAAGTATAATTACAAAAAATAAGCTTTGGTTTAAAGTTCAAATTTATATAAGGTTTCTGTTATTTATGATTCAAATCTATTTCAGTATTATATATAATGATATTTTCATGTGTTTATATTGTAAAATTTGAATGTATTTTAATAATTAAGGTTAAATAAGAATGCATATATTATATATTCAGGTGTGCTTATAAAGTAAGTGAAATGGTTACAATATTATAAAATAAATTCCTATCATACTTCTTTCTTTTCATTTATTTTCTGCATATCATGTGTTTGCAAATTATTTATTTACATTAGATTATTCTACTCATTTGACTTGTTTAAATATATCTAAACTAAGTTACAAATCAAAAAAATTTTTTTGGAATGAAATATACTAAAACTGTGGAATTCGTTATACTTTATCAACTTAGATTATACGAAATAATTGTATATATGAACAAACAATTTCCAACGTATTTAACTTATATATTGTTGAGCTTTTAGTTGTATTTTTATTTCATGTATTTTTTCATTGGATGAAATGAGTTTTAATTGAAATTAAAAGATAAAATATCACAATGAATTGATTTTGCGACGAAATTCATAACATAATTGAAAAGTAAGAAATTTGTATTTGATAATTTAAAGGCCCATTATGCCTCAGAAATGTTTTTATTTTTATTTTTCAAAGCTTTTATCTTTGGATCACTTTTATAGTTCCTAAAAAGTTACTCTGTTGCCAAGTACCTGAACGACATTTTTGATCAGTTGTTTTTTGGCAATTAGTACAGTTATAGTTTTTTTATTATTGTGCGGTAGTCAAAATACTACTTCGTTTACATTTGGCTACTTTTATGACGAATTTTTGCACGTACACCGCCACTTTCTTCAGGTAACAAGAACCTAATATGCTCTTAAACAATTATTCAAGCATTATAAAATTCATGTTTGTACTTTCTAAAAAAGTAAAAATGTATCCTTTTCTGACTCATTACGATCCTTTAAATGATATATCGTCATATTAATAATTCCATATTAAAATGCCTAGATTAGACTAAAACCGTAAAAATGATGAATTATAATCTACAAATAGTGTTTTGTAAAGTGAGGAAAGGAAAATGATAAAATGATCAATGCCAATAAGTGAGTGATAGTCGCATGGCTTATTAAATGTTAAGCAAACCAAATTTAAAACCCTTGATTCTCTGTCCATCTCCGAAACAAGTAACAATTATTATGAAATATTTATGACGATTCGTCTGTCTTTTTACTTGCCGCCTATTATATTCTGATTAAAAATTTACACTCGGATATTATTTATATATTAGAAAGCATAAAATATTGTGTGCTATTATAAATATATTGAATACTTTTAAATATTCTCAACTTGTCTATTTTAAAATAATTCAACCAGACTTATAAAACACGCTTTGGAAATTAAGCAAAAGTATAATTGTTTATGACAACGCAAAAGGCAAAACGTTAATAAATTAAAAACAACAGTTTTTTCCTACAAGGTCTGAAGATAAACAACAGAAGATACTAATAAAAGGATTACTTCATTTAGCTTTTTTTATTTCTTTTTTTATTCTTGGGAAATACGTATGTAAGCGCAATATTTGTTAACAATGGTATATAATATTGCAACCGTGACTTGTACGTCAAATGTGTTTTCATATGCAGACTATATACCAGTTTGATTGATGTATACTCCAGTTAAACAGCAGTTAAAGTTTAAAATACAGCTTTTATTGTTTAAATCTAAGTGTTTCCATGAAACATATTTCAGCAGATATAAAGTTGCACATTATTTTTCGGTTTATTGACCCGTTTTCTGTACTTTTAAGCAGTTTCAAAAACAAACTTTGGCTTTGCAATTTCTGTAAAAGTATCTACAGTTTACATTTACATTTTACTTCAGCACTTAGAGGTATAAATGGAAAAACGGAGAGTAAATTTAATTAAAGGATATGGCATGTCCTTTGTTAGAACAAAATGCATAAAACTCTCAGTACAACTTGATTAAGAATGATAGATACTGTTTCAAATTTCTTTTAAGTTTGTAGTAACTTTACCAAATATACCTTTGTCCTAAACAAAATTTAACCATAGGAATAAGGTAAATAAATTCGTATTTGACCAGGCTTTTTTATGTCAATAGTCTATATTGCAATGACTCAATGTATGAAATTTAAGAAATAGTATGAAAAAAAAAACAAATATAGACCGTTTTCTTTTTTTAAATAGGAATAATTGTAAAAGGGAATCTATCTAAACTTGCATGATGCCCTTGACAGATGTGTCGGCAAAAACAACGTATTCTTCTTGTTATTTGATCGCAAATCCAATTAAGATATCAGCCTCCTTGAGTTTGAATATCTGTTTACGATTATTCAGTTACCCTTGCATTTCTAAAACGTTTTGCATTAGTGTAGATGGTTTCATTCGATGGTACTCTATCATTCAAATTCTAAACAGTTAAAGTAACGTTGTCTAAAAGCTCATTTTGAAAAACAAAGCTTTTAAACACAGAACACAAAGAGTTATATCAAGAAATAGCAGTATCTATATGATTAGGTATTCAACGAACTTCGGGATCAAGATGTTACATAGCAATATGCAAATATAAGCGCATAAAATTGTTTTAAATGTTTTAATTTCGGGATTTATGCTGACAGTTTAAAAGATTGCTAAAGGTATAAATTCATTCATTTCTAGCTATTGAATGTAAGTGTTAATTGTATAAAGATTTAATGTGAATTGTTTAAATTTGTAAGTATAACAAGTAACATTTGCATTTCAAAATGACTGTTGAAATACTCATTATTGCATAACAATTACATAACAACATGTATTTTCAAATTGATCATTATTAAGTAAGTATAGTTCTGTTCAGATAACTATTTCAAGTTAAAGCAGAATGCCTCCAGATAATGTAAACTGTCATTAATTTTTAAAATTTATTTAAAAAGGTGAAATATTGTCAAGTAAACAAAGAAAGTAATTTACACATTGCAAACACTATTTAAAATCTAGGACAAATACCAAAGATATATCAGAATATGCAAAATAGGCCTTACTGAGTTGGTCACGGAATAGAAGTAATGGTGATAAATACTGCAAAATCAGCCATTAATTGCATATAACATGTAATTTTTTTTTTTTCATTTTATTTTTGATTTGTGAATAGTACTATCTTTTTTAAAATGTAAGTACTTTTTTATCATGGTTGATCTTCTTGAATTATTTCGGTTCATCAGGAGGCATGCAGGTTTAATATTTAGGCTAATAATTAATATTACGTTATACGCACATAAAGTACGTGGAAACAATTTATTTTTAAAAAGAAGTGCCAGATGTGATGTGTCTGTTTCGGTTCAATCACTTGTCAACCTTGATTATTGTGATATGTTTAAAGTGCCAGTTATGTTCTTACTTTATAAAGTTTAGAATAAATCCGTCTATTCATGACAGCAGTATGTTATATGTCAATCTTTTGACTCATAAAAAGCACAAAACTTGCAAACAATATCATTATAAAGGCCTAAATTTGCAGACATCAATGATGTCGCATGCAAATTATTCCATGTTGACTGTTATATTGCGTGCTGCCAAGTTTGCACTGGAATTCAACTGGAAAGTAGCAAATTAGATTTGAAAGATTATTGACGGTTTTTAACAGAATATGAATTTCATTTAACATGAGTTTTTCCCCTGAAATATTGCTTTAATTACAGAATGATAGCGTTCACACATATCATTGCCTGACTGATTGTGAGCACATTAAAACCACCGATTGGTCGTACTATGCATGTGAATGCAATTGTAGACTTATAGTAGCTAAAGTTTGTCTGGTACTGTGTATAGGCTGGCTGGTACTGTGCATAGATTAGGTAGCACTGAGTATAGTTTGACTGGTACTGTACATAGTTTGATTTGTATCATAGTTTGGGGGACCTTTCTGTTGAAAATGTGTCATTGTAAAATCGTATACATATACATGCACAGTGCGTTAACTGGAGTGAAGGTATTAGTTACCCGCACACCAGAGTATGCCAACAGATTGTCTCTTTTCTTCCAAGGTTTATTTATTGTGACGACAGGGGATTGCGATAGAAATATCACATTCCGATGATCGTGTTTTGATGCTCTTTTGTATGCTGTTTGACTGGTACTGTGTATAGTTTGTTTGGTACTCTGCATAATAGTAGTATACACCGTAGTTGCATGGTACTAGGTATGGGTTTGGCAGGTACTGTATATAGTTTGTCTGGTACTGTATATAGTACTGATTATTGTTAGGCTGGTACTGTATTTAGTTTGTCTGGTACCGTATTAAGTACTGATTATTGTTTGGTTGTTACTGTATATAGTTCGTCTGGTACTGTATATAGTACTAATTATTGTTTGGCTGGTACTGTATATAGTTTGTCTGGTACTGTATATAGTACTAATTATTGTTTGGCTGGTACTGTATATAGTTTGTCTGGTACCGTATAAAGTACTGATTATTGTTTGGCTGGTACTGTATATAGTTTGTCTGCTACCGTGTAAAGTACTAATTATTGTTTGGTTGGTACTGTATATAGTTTGTCTGGTACTGTATATAGTACTAATTATTGTTTGGCTGGTACTGTATATAGTTTGTCTGGTACCGTGTAAAGTTCATTTCGTCATTCTATTATGCTACCGCTAAATGTATATCATTATTTATAAAGTCCCCGACCATTAAACCCTGGAATATATTTAATAAACAGTAACAAAGATATCTAAAAACTCTGCCGTCATTTTCTAATTTTGTTCCACATCATTTTTAAACTACTTGGACAAAAACGTAGTATTTACAATAGTATGTCTATCAAATTCAAGTATGTTAAATGTTCAATCAAAATATCCCTAAAAACAGAGAATACGTTTGCTGTAAATAAAGGGATTCATAATTAAAAATTATAATGAATACAA